TGTTCTGGTTAAGATGCATATTGCCATGTTTAATTGTGCATCTCACAGTTTTATGTACAAGCTTCTGGAGTGAAGTTCTCTGCTCTTGAGTAGACCATTGATAGGGAGATGGTAACCTTCTCATGGCCCACCTGTTCGGTGTTTTCATGTTACCTTAAATACAACGCATACTCTCGTGTTGTGTTTAATTTTAGACCTCAGTGTAAGTTTTTTAAATTATGATTCTGCTATGATGGATTTTTATAATTCTTTACAGATATTTTTTTTGTTGGCATAACCAATCTAATTAGCCCAAAGCATCGATATGGGAACTCCACATCTATGGTTCCCAGAGACAGATTTTCCAGCAGTCTGTACTGTGCTGATGAGTCCTAATTAGATAGAAACCGGTCCAGAGTTGTATATTACTGCATCACTGCTGCTGTCAGTTGGTCACATTTGCTCAAATTAATTTTGATACTGATCAACACAAGTACACCATAATGAGCTTATTAAGGACTTGTTGATGTTTTTGCATATGCACAATGGGCCATGTGCTCTATACACATTTGTGTTGAATTTGAAACCCGTGGTTTATCAGCCTGCACTGTTATTTGGTTACTATGATATTGTGCACGCGTTTGCGAAGGAAATAACTTCAGTGGAAAACAAGTCATATGGATTTTTGCAAATTTCCGGTTAAGTTCCTTGTATTACACTTCTACGGGCAACATAGTTTTGGTGTGAACGTTTTCATTGCAAGAATTCTCACGCACTAAATTGCTGTATTGTAATCATATCACTTAGCAGAAGTTGACTGTAAGGGGGGTGTACTTAACGAAGTGAACCACGATTATTTTAACGTAAAGAACATGTTTGCTGTGAAATCGTTCACAGCAAACGTTATACGCTGTAGGATCTGAATCGGGGAATTTTGAAAATAAACGCATACCTTTGACACGTTCATTTTACACATAAATCCAATATAGGTACTATGTGTTTCTCAATAACACTCGCCATCTCATCTTCTTGAATGTTCTTCAGTTTCTCGGGTGTTGGCACAGCTCCCTGTGTTTCGCTTCCTTTTCTTGGGGTTCTTTCCTACACAGGCAAGTGTAGCTGTGGGGGCAATTTAATTAAGTTGGGCACTGCCACGAATTTGTGAGAGCGTTTCACACACAATTAAAGCATAGCCTGGTTGATTACGTTCTTCCAAATATTGCTAAATTAGAAGTTAAGTGTGAAATTTTGAGAGAGAGATAAGACACAGACACGGAGACACAAAGACAGACACACAAGCTGAGAGAGACAACACAGAGACACACACACACAGAGAGAAAACACACTTAATAAAAAATAAACTTAGTAAAATGTGGAAATATAATGCAATGCAACACAGAGAGTCGGTCAACACACAATTAACGCATAGCCTGGTTGATTACGTTCTTCCAAAGATTGCTAAATTAGAAGTTAAGTGTGAAATTTGAGAGAGAGCCAAAACAATGTGTAGATTCATTTCTGTTTCGTTTTTGTGTTTATTGCGATTTTGGGTGTTCACTGCATGGTACCTGCTGAATTGACAGACCCTCCTTCAATAAGCATCAATCACTTTTAATTGGCATGCCCACTTCAATCACTATCCCCACCTACACAGCCTTCTCTGCCAACCCCACCCGCTGCTCAGGTAACCCCACCATTTGCACGTATCATGAATAAAACATGAGGCCTGGAAATGTTAATTTAGAAAATGTTCTGCTCTTTACAAATGTTTCTGAACACCGTGACAGCCTTTTTTTATGCAACCATGAGTGATTCCCCATGCACAACAATGCTAAAATAATGTATTATTGAAATGAGTCGGTGATATCCAATAATGACAGTTCCTGGAATCCCCGCAGGTAATCATCATTGCATGCCTAAAAATACCATACACTGACTAATGTATCTCCTCATTTGTTGGAAATTATCTGTCAACCATTTCACGCAGCAGAGGGCACTGTAGTACAGCAGTCCCTTGCCAACCACGTTTCTTCCAACCCATAGGGGTTTTCAGGAACCTGGCGAGAAATTACAGTACTGTGTTTCCACAAACAGGGCCAGTTTTTTTTCATGATGGGGGCGCTGGGGCCGTTTTAGTTTTGGGGTTCCCCATTTCATTGACTATTTTATCACCACCCATGCCTAAAGGGTTGCCAACCATCCCAAATTTGCCATGAGTCTCTTTCGGAATGTGCATCGATCTCCTGGTGACTGTTGAAAGCAATTCGGGATACTGTATTTGAAGAAAATAAATGAATAAATACGATATAATGTAAGAGCTTCCGTCAGAGTTGGCAACCTTACCCATGCTCAATGCCCAATACGCTATTGTTATTTACCTTGGCTATTTCAGTTTTTAAATATATACAAACTGATAAGCTAAATAAAAAGGAGAGTAAACAAACATTTTATATTCGGCACTTAACTTGTAATAATCTACATAGTGATTATATGGTTTCATGACTAATTTATAAGATGCATCATATTGTGTTTCAACCAATTTCTAGAAATCTATATTGTTAGAGCCCCTGCTAAATCAGCCTGCGCTCCTAACCTCAAAGTTGGTTTGAGGATGCAACCTTCCAACAATTCTGGTATAGATCGTACTACTTTATGTATCACTAAATCACTGATAACAATACAGTTCATTACATGTCCCATTATCTCCATATATATAAAAGGCAAAGTTGTGAATGTGTCTGTTCAAAATGTTTAGCGTACTTCCCGACATGCAACAAACTGGAAATTTGCCATGTGGGTACTTTCCAGACTGTACACCATGATTTTTTTAAATAGACTTTTTATTTATTTATTTTGGGGGGTGGCACAATAATGCATACATTTTTCACGGCAAATGAGCTGTGACGTCACATCTGTCATGTGACCCGTATGCGGAAGCGAAATGGAGTGTGCCTGCTGATCGCGGGTAAAGTGAAATACAAATGTGTTGCAGGTCTAAGGCGTTCTTCGCGCAGCATTGCTTTATTATTTCAGTCGTTAACTGCCGTACGCACCCTAAAAGTTGTGTGTGTCTGCTGCAAGCATGTGTATGTGTATCTATGGATGCGCGCGCGCGCGCGCACGTGTGTGTGGGGGGAGCGGTAGTGTAGTGGTTAGCGCGCTGCGCTACGAATCCGGCGACCTGAGTTCGATTCCCGCTCACGGCCACCACCAGTGATGATTATTTGAACCGGTCCTGGGCCTCCCCTAGGTCGACTCAGCCTCAAACGAGAAACTGGTGTGGTGTGTGAACATTGCCACTGGGGGGACAAAGGCGGCCGGGCGTGGTGAATCCAAGTCCCAGGCAAAGCTGGGTAGTAAAGCTAGTACAGTGAGGGAAACAAGTATTTGATCCCTTCCTGATTTTGTACGTTTTCCCACTGACAAAGAAATGATCAGTCTATAATTTTAATTGTAGGTTTATTTGAAAAGTGAGAGACAGAATAACAAGAACAAAATCCAGAAAAACGCATGTCAAAAATGTTATAAATTGATTTGCATTTTAATGAGGGAAATAAGTATTTGACCCCCTCTCAATCAGAAAGATTTCTGGCTCCCAGGTGTCTTCTATACAGATAACGAGCTGAGATTAGGAGCACACTCTTAAAGGGAGTGCTCCTAATCTCAGCTTGTTACCTGTATAAAAGACAACTGTCCACAGAAGCAATCAATCAATCCGGTTCCAAACTCTCCACCATGGCCAAGACCAAAGAGCTCTCCAAGGATATCAGGGACAAGATTGTAGATCTACACAAGGCTGGAATGGGCTACAAGACCATTTCCAAGCAGCTTGGTGAGAAGGTGACAACAGTTGGTGCGATTATTCGCAAATTGAAGAAACACAAAAGAACTGTCAATCTCCCTCGGCCTGGGGATCCATGCAAGATCTCACCTCGTGGAGTTACAATGATCATGAGAACGGTGAGGAATCATCCCAGAACTACACGGGAGGATCTTGTCAATGATCTCAAGGCAGCTGGGACCATAGTCACCAAGAAAACAATTGGTAACACACTACGCCATGAAGGACTGAAATCCTGCAGCGCCCGCAAGGTCTCCCTGCTCAAGAAAACACATATACATGCCCGTCTGAAGTTTGCCAATGAATATCTTGATGATTCAGAGGACAACTGGGTGGAAGTGTTGTGGTCAGATGAGACCAAAATTTAGCTCTTTGGCATCAACTCAACTCGCCATGTTTGGAGGAGGAAGAATGCTGCCTATGACCCCAAGAACACCATCCCCACCGTCAAACATGGAGGTGGAAACACTATGCTTTGGGGGTGTTTTTCTGCTAAGGGGACAGGACAACTTCCCTGCATCAAAGGGACGGTGGACGGGGCCATGTACCGTCAAATCTTGGGTGAGAACCTCCTTCCCTCAGCCAGGGCATTGAAAATGGGTTGTGGATGGGTATTCCAGCATGACAACGACCCAAAACACACGGCCAAGGCAACAAAGGAGCGGCTCAAGAAGAAACACATTAAGGTCCTGGAGTGGCCTAGCCAGTCTCCAGACCTTAATCCCATAAAAAATCTGTGGAGGGAGCTAAAGGTTCGAGTTGCCAAACGTCAGCCTCGAAACCTTAATGACTTGGAGAAGATCTGCAAAGAGGCGTGGGACAAATTCCCTCCTGAGATGTGTGCAAACCTGGTGGCCAACTACAAGAAACGTCTGACCTCTGTGATTGCCAACAAGGGTTTTGCCACCAAGTGCTAAGTCATGTTTTTCAGAGGGGTCAAATACTTATTTCCCTCATTAAAATTGTTGTTATTCTGTCTCTCACTGTTCAAATAAACCTATCATTAAAATTATACACTGATAATTTCTTTGTCAGTGGGCAAACGTACAAAATTAGCAGGGGATCAAATACTTTTTTTCCCTCACTGTATGTTATATAAAAGGTTGTTTATTAACACAAGATGTGAAAATGTTCAAGTGAATTGCGTTTCAAGGAGATAATATTGAAATCATGCCTGCAGGTGGCAGAGAACCACGCTACGCTGGTGCGCTATACTGGGCTGCTGCAGAACCTGACGGTGCGCGTGGAGCGAATGGAGCAGGGCCATGACCGTTACACAGAGCTGGACTTTGAGCTGCTGCGGGTGGAGATCAGGGAGATGGAGCAGCTGGTGCAGCAGCTGAAGCTGGAGGTCTCCAGCGCCACACTCGATCGTCTCCACCTCTCGGTCAGTCACGATTGTCGCAAAGGCACGCAATTGTTTGCTGCATTGGCCACAGCTTTCTATTGGGAGGATATACGAACTTTCAGGTTTTCCTCTTTCAGATGACATTTTAAATCGAGTACCTTGAATAACTGGTATGTGAAGGCAGCATTTGTTTTACACAATTGCAGGGCTGCCTTTTATATCTTCTCATAGAAAACTGCATTCATCTTGCAGATGGCTTAATAAAAACTGGAATGGAATTAAAGTTGGGTGCGTCTTCCAAAAATATGTAATGGCATACACAGATTTACATTGCTGTTGTTATTACTTTGTGTGGGTTTTCTCTTGGCACTCCAGTTAATTTGCATGATGACTCAGTGAGTGGGTGAGGCTAGTGAATGAGTGGACATGGCTATGTAAAAGTAGGCAGGACAGATGGAGGGACTACCAGTTCACCATGTCCTAGTTGAACCTCCCATGCAAGAATATAAAAGCAGATTGCCTCAACATCCCAAACAGTTTCAGCAAAAACACGCTTACCACTTCAATATTGCCTGGGTAAATAATAAATATCACATCTATTTGAAACACAAAAAATACCATTGTTGTGATTCCAAAATGGGAGGTTTGAAATTGGCGACTTGGGAGGATATGAGGTGAAGCAGAATAAGTGAATCAGGGACTGCCAGGGGGGGTGGGGAGGAGGCTGAAGGGTCGGTAGAGTGGTGAGAGTGGAGGTGGCCATGAGGGTGAAGCACGAGGGGAGAAGGAGGCAGAGTCCCAGGGGACGAGATTGGAAGTTTTGGCGGGAAAATATCACGGGAGCAGTTAGGCGAGCGTCGCAGAAAGAACAGAGGCAAAATTAGTGGTTGAGTTGCATTTATAAGGAGTTTGTAATTCGTTTGTTGATGGAAGTACACACACACTGTAAATAGTAATATCACTGATATTGTATTCAGTAAATAATTGAAGAAAATAATCTGGTGTATGCCATGAAACCTGTGACTGCCCGGGCCTGGTTAATCGACTCAAGTAGATTACCGCACCGTGTTCATAACTGTCCTGGCCCGCCAACAGATCCAGAACATCAGCGTGGTGGTGAACACGCTGGACAGCTACGACAGGAACAACGTGCTGCTCATCCGGCACCAGGTGGACACTCTGCGCAAGCAGCTGCAGGACTGCCAAAATGCGGCCTCCAATGCTGGCCAGGCCCCCAGCAACAATGCTGACCAGCCCGCCGGCAACAATGCTTACCAGCCCCCAATTGGTAAGCTACTTATATCAGGAGTTCTTTCCGTAGGGTCCATCCATTACATTAGCATGGGTTAGTATTACAATTACAAGCGCAACTTAAAATTAAATATAATGTACACATGTATGTATGTATGCTGAGCTTCTTTGGCACCGTACGTAGCCAACTGCGCTAATCGGAGGTGGGAAATGCTCAAATTGGGGAAAAGAGGAGCAGCTCAGTGCAGCGGTTATCGCTTTGAACTTCGGCTACCTGAGTCTAGTTCCCCGGCTATGGCCAATATCAGTGATTAATGATATCTGAAAGGGTTCCTGTCCCCCACTCTGCCCCCTCACCAACTCACGCTGACCAGCGTTTTGAGGTCTGCTAAAAAAAAAACCCACAGCTGAAACATCTCGCGATGGGTTGAAAAATGCCTCTAAATTCATTATAAAGACCAGGTCTCTGATGATTTCCTGTTATTCCCATCAAATAGGGAGCCTTTTGTAATTCATATAGTATTATATTATAAATGAAAAATGTGTTAAATACAGTTGACAGGTTATCAAAATCGCAAGTTATGAGCTCATATATTCAAATTGGCGTCAGAATTGAGATAACTCAACCATCAATCTTCGGGGCCTTGGTAAAACGAGTACCACCAGTTTAAAGATACAGGCATTTTAGTAATGGCTGTTGAAGAGACTTGTCCATGCAACATTACTATGGAATTTCAGTAAATTACTCAGGACTATGTTTTTGCATGGGCTCTGCCCAATGCACATTTCAGTGTAGGGCACTTGACTTTTTATGTTATTGTAAAGACCGAAGCAACAGACGACTTGCCTGACGGGGTACATGTGCAGACAGACAGTCAGGAAGTGTGTTCGGGGCCTCTGATTCATGCAGGGAGGCCTCAAAGAGGATTGGTTACTGTCAGAGAATTAAACTGATTGGAAGAGAAATTCAAGGGTAAAAGGCGGGAAAACGAGGATGGACTGTCGATTAATGGTTGACAACCGTTAGGGAAGGAGGACGAGGATTGGCTGAGGGAAATGGGAGTGAGCGAACCTTCGAGAAAGGAGGGCTCGAGGAGTATAAAGGGGGGGAAAGCACGAGGGGAAGGGACAGTTGGAGAGAAAACGAAGTTCAAGAACTGAAGCCTGGGCTTAGAGTTAGTGTTGTGTCCAAAACAAAGGCTGGAAGTAAAGCACGGACGTGTGTCGGCGTCACTACATTATCTTATCCTGTTCTCCATACATCCTGCTATCTACTGAGTCCACCTGATCAGCAGTTCCTCGTGTTATCTATTAAGATCTAATTATCAAGATGTCATCATTGTCAATGCTTTTGCTGCCTGATGACATCTCACCAATTGCTTTGTAGCCTCTGAAAGGTGCCACAACTGTTACACGTTAGACACCTCCAAGATCTGCCCTGATAGCTCTTCTTTTAGTTAGATTTTTCTTTCAGTAGTTATAATGCCACCAAACTCTGATTCCGCAGTTGGTTAGCACATCAGCAAATTGAGGATACTAAAGTAAAGTACAGGAGTTATTCAGGAACAAAATGCAATTGTGTCATCCTCATGGTATTATACAGGGTGATCCATATATCAATACCCCACTTATTTATAATTAGCCATGTGTCATGCTTTATAAAGCACCAACAGGTTTTCTCTTGTGCGGTCACATAAAAGACTGTTAAAATTAAGTTCATTGAGATTGGTGGGATATATGTAAAGGCTTTCAAATGCAGTGGTCCCTCGGTTAACGATATTAATTGGTTCCACGAAAAACATGATTAATTGAAATGATCGTTAATCAAATAAAGAAAATACATTTTAAAGGCTTAATTTGTTCCAAGACAATCCGAATTTTACCTTTCACCCTAATTACATAGTTTATTATATTTCAATATGCAATGTTAATAAACGTTAAAAGGGCATATTCAAACTTTTATATGTATGAAAAAATGTACAAATAATAAATAAATGGAGAATAAAAAGATGAAATAAATAGAGCTAAAATAAAAATTCTTACTTTCGGCTAAGAAGATGGATATTTTTTTATATTTTCATGCTTAATTTGCACACTAATTATTTCTTGACTTTGTCATCTTTTTTCATGGTCATTTTAGGGGACATTGTTATTGATTTTATTTAACTTTTAAGTAAAAAAACACTAATTATTCAAGAGAGCTGTTTCCATAAGCAACGCACATCAAACATTGTAAAGCTATCAGCCATTTGCTCTCAAATAGCTCATAAAATGGCATCGCTGATTGGCTGAGGTCTGCTGCTGAGTCCTCTTAAGAGCGCTCCGATTGACCGAAATTAGCAGCTGCGTGATATTGTAAACATTGTTAATCGAAAATGTATCGTTAATAGAAACAATGGAACCCTATGGGAGGTAAATCGATGGACCACTGGAATATCTTGTCTTCTCTATAATGTATCTCTTATAGATTAGAGGATTGTCTATTTGTTGATTGCTCTGTATATTAACAAGTCAAATTATAAAGTTGGTGTGTGTTCATTCTGAAAGGAGCATTCCTATGGTGGTGGCTAACATATAAGTTTTATATGTACATTAATACGAGAAAAAACTGTTCAGGTGTTGGATCATTTCATTAATGAACGTTTTTTTTAATGAATGAAAATATAAAGAACATTTTCTAAAGTGCTGTATTGTCTCTTTGCAGGCTCATGTGCGCACGGTGGCTTGCAGAACGTCAGCGCACCATATATTCACATTCTGAACATGCAAGGTGTAGGGTACCTATATGGCGCGTTTGGGAAAGACCCACTCCCACTGAAGGGACGTGAGGATGTGTACTGGGTGATAACCAGCTATCAGATTTACTTTACTGTGATTCAGATGTTTGCCAACCACCGGGCACTGCAGACCTCTATGCTGTTGGAACAAAAGACCCTTTCTTGTGGCATAGATTGTGGTTATGGAATGGATGCAGTGATGTACAAAAATCACATGTTTTACAGATGCTCTACTGGTGTCTCTATTTGCAAATATAACATGACAGCCTCCACTATTACCAGAGCAAATCTCCCCCAAGCGTCAGGAACTAATTCGTATCCTTACCTGGGCTCTACATATTCTGATATGGATTTTTCTGTGGATGAACAAGGTCTGTGGGTCATTTACTCTGCCGATGGGAAGGTGTCCCTTGCTTTACTTAATGATACTTCCCTTGCTGTTATCAACAGCTGGACTACCACGCAGTACAAACCCTCAGTCAGCAATGGCTTCATGGTGTGTGGAGTCCTGTACCTCACACGCACCTATAGCCTTAAAACTGAAGAGATCTACTTTGCTTTTGACAGCAAAACTAACCAGGAGAGGTATTTGAGCATCATGATGGACAAGCCCATGGAAAAGATGAGCAGCCTCAGCTATAACGCAGTTGACCGCAATCTGTACATGTATGATCAGGGATATATGGTCACCTATAATGTGATATTAAAGGGCTTGTGATTTTTATATTTTATGCATATTGTAATCACTCACACAATGCTTTGTCATCCAAATCTTCTACAAATCTGTAAGGGCTGGAATTTGTTATCTGCTTTTTTCAAGTGATAAGTATCACAATTAACACACCTCCCGTGCACAGTCAGAATGAACACCCTGGCCAGTACGGTTGGTGAAATCAGGACCAAGGCGTTTTCAGATACCAATCACCGCTGATTGTTAGCCATTGCCGGAAGCGAACTCCGGATGCTGGTATCATAGCGCATGGCGTGAACCACCACATACCGCTGCACCTCCGGTTCTAATAAAATGACTCAAAAATAACATATGGTCACATGTCGCATCTGCACAGAGTTTCTGATTTAAGCATTGTACATTTTTTTACAATTGAAGACTAAAAAACATGAATTTGATTTTTAATAGAATGTTGATTAGAAAACGTAATAGTTGATGCACACGCATTCCAGTCCCGAAACAGATGCTGGATATAAGCACACCCTAACCCTGGTGGGCTTATAACCAAAGTATTCCTTCTGCCCAACAAAACTAATGTAAAAATGTGTTTCTTGTATCAGAACTTTGCTTTTATAAGCTTCGACTACACCTTGAAGTTAGCAGGAGTCAAGTCATGCTGAACCTCCGCTTATGACCAAGAACCAGTGGTGGAAATATGACAATCCAGTGATTGGATCTAAAGTCTCCTGCATATCAAACACGTACAATATAGCTATTGTACCACAACATTGGTTTGCATAAGCTTACATTCCCTGAAAACGCAGTTATTGATGACAGTGCTTTGTGTACCAAAAATTACATTCCAAGCTCCAAGTAAAACTCTCGCTGTCAGAGAGCAGCCCTAGATTGCATGGCACTACTTCACCTCAATAAGCCTCTTATACCCACGAATCGAAAACCATTGATTTGCCCGCAAAGGTCAATTCAGCTTTCTTACAGAGCTGGTATAGTCCAAATTTAATCTCATGAAGTTTCATTGCGCAGTTATTGGAGGCCAGGCTAAGACCATTAACACGCTACACTCAACCGGCTTAAATCGTGGGAGGCTGCTTGGATTTTGAACCCAGAATCTCAGCATGACTGCTGGCTCGGTGCTCTGGCATTGTTCTCACCTCCTGGAGCCACCCGGCCACCTCAATAACGAGCTAAATTAATTTTATTCGCACAGGTTAAGTACTGAACACGTGGTCAAAACAACCTATTTTAGATGCAAATGGACATGTCCAAAGTTATAGCCAGTTTGCCTGGTTGTCCTTTATTGGACCAAGCTTAAAGGATAAATAAACTTAATTTAATTATATCGTCAATTTTCCTAAATGACATTGGACAGGACTTCTTAAACATAAATTCCACGTGGTTACCTTTTCGTTAATGTAAACAATATATGGTTATTTCTGACCACGTGAGTTCACGCCTTGTCAAACCTAATGTGTGAGTGTAAATGTAGCTGAGGTGGTAAATTTTCCACCGATGGCCCTCAGACTAAGCTAGTTGCACTGAGAAACTCATTCATCAGCACATGCTATCATTCTTAAACAGGCCATTTTACATAACAGATCTGCCATTTGGCGTTTATACTACAATATAATTGTTTGCATATTCCAGTACTGATTTGCTTATTATTTCATGAATTATACACACTTTTACGTGGAATGGGAATTTTCCGGGTGTCATAATTTTGCATATCATACTTGGTATTTTTGTGGTTTTGAAATAAAGGAATTTATTGGACTTCACTTGCATTACCTTTATTTTAATTGACCTCAACAAAAATATGAGGTGTGTATTCGTAAAATAGATTTTAGTTGGATTCCTATCAAAACGTAAATATCTTCATACAATCAAGACAACAAAAAACAACATCTGCCCTCGACTGTTCACCTCTCCGACACGATATGCATTTGTAATGACGTGTAATTTGATTTTAAGCATGCAGGATATAGTGTAGAAAATGGTTTGATATCGTGAATATATTTTGAAGGAGAGGGGAAAGGACACCGACCTCGCGTGGTGAGTGGGCGGTGAACCCGAAAGCGTCCCGCTCCTTGACATGGTACAAATCAAGTGGGACCAACTGCCAATAGCAGGGGTTGTCCACCTGAGGGTATTGCTGATGGAGTTAAATTATGTATTTAGGCAAAACGGTAGTGATGTGGGACGTGCCAACTTTGTAAAGCAAAACATTGACACCGGCATGGCCCACCCAATCACGATCTCCACATATCGGCTAGGGGCGCCCGAGAGGGCACAGACCAATGATACTGTCGACAAGATGCTACACTCGAGAATTATCATCCGTTTGTCGAGCCCTTGGTGCTGGCGTCCAAGAAGGATGGGTCCACCCACTTTCACGTGCATTATAGTAAGTTGAACGTTGTCAAATTGTGGGATTCCTCCCTCTTGCCTCGCATCGACGAGCCCTTCGACAGCCTAGCAGGGACAAAGTTATTCTCAACACTGGACTTGGTCGAGGTAGCCTCCTGAGGAACTGTACCAAGACTGCATTCAGTGCCCTAAAGGGCCTCTTCAAGTTTGTGTTGACCAAGAGATTAGCCACCTTTCAACGCTTGATAGAGTTGGTGATTTGGGGACTCTAGTGGGAGCAATGTCTCGTCGATCTAGATAACGTCATTGTCTTCGGGAGGACCCTCGAGGAGCAACTCGGCAAGCTATGAGCAGTGCTCGAGCAGCTCCAGGTGGCCCATTTGAAGCTTAAACCCAGGAAGTACTTCCTGACGCAGTGGGAGGTGGCCTGTGGTGTCACCGCAGCGGAGCAACTTGGCCGGCGCTACCCTCTCCTCGCACCCCCTCCCCCCCACGAACGCACGCACGCCCCACTAAACACTCACATGCACCCCCGTAGGGTCTCGAGGAGGGATCACCTGGTACAATGGGTTTTCACCCGAGGACCCCACTCGCAGTGACGTTCCACGGTTTCCCCGGACCAGGAAATTGACTGAGCCCCCCAGACCGGATTACATGGCGGCCCCCCCAAAAAGGGGGCATAGAGCTTTACAGGCCGGGCGCGATGAAGCATACACAACACGGGGGGGGAGGGGGGGTGGGACCTTCATCCAGTACCCAGCGGTAGAGTAAGCAGTGGGGTGGGAGGGAAAAGCCCCTAGGCAGATAAGAGTTGACTTAAGTTGGAGGGAGCGAGGGGATTTTCGATGAGTCAACGGCGAGGGACGCAGGTACAGAGACAATGGGAAGGGGGGGTGGATGACGCGACCCCCCCCCCCCACCCCCCCCAATGGCCAGAGCACTCAAAACTGCCACAAAGAGGATTCGATTGGATGCGCAGGATGACATCATATGACTCGGAGGTTAAGGGGCTTTGGAGAAATAAAGGGGCCGTAGGGGCAGATTGAATCAGAGTTCTTCTGGAGCGGCGGGAGAGACCAGCCGTCCTCAGCGTCCCTACGGTGCATGCAGGGTGGAGCTGGAAACGTTCGGCCAGAAAAAGTCCCCAAGGCGAGCATCTTTCCCAGCCAACCCCCCATAGATCCGTCGACACCACCCGAGCAAGCCTGCCGATGTTTCACAGGTGATGTGTCACGCCCTGAAGAGGCCACCACCTGAGCATGCTGCAGCCAGCCCCAGCAATGAACCCCTGCAGACCAGCACTACAGCTGAGCCCGAGAGAAGGTGACCAGGGACTAGGAAACCAGCTTCTGCAGGGGAGAATGGCAGGGGGTGTGTGAGGTCAACCCTAGTGAGGGCGATCATTCCGGTGGTGTATGGGTCATTTAAAACATTGGATGTGCATTCCCAGGGCTGATAGGTGGGCATCTATGCACTGTGCAACAGCAAAACCCGGAGTTGGCCGAGATTCATCATGCCCTTCAGGAAAGTAGGGCAGCAGTGGATGGGCCTTGGATGACCCTTTTCCTACGGTTTCATCTGAGGAACGGAGTTGTGGTGGAGGCCATTGAGGCAGAGGAACGGGATCGGCTCGGCATTTTGGTTCGGGTGCACCCTGATCTACTATAACTGGTGCACAGCTGCTCAGGGGCCATGATTGGCAATGGCGGACCTGGGACGCTATACCTAATGCCGACTGCTGGGAAAAGTTAGAAGCTGTGGATGTGGGGGTGCGAAGACTGTCAGCACCGAGGGCCGAGCTGTACCCGGTTCCCCTCCACCCACTGCTGGTCAGCCGTTATCACCAGCTAGTGGGACTGGTTCTGCCTGGACCACCGCCTGTTACCTGCAGTGAGAAGGGATACTGTATATCCTGGCAGCCGTTAAGAACTTCACGCGATGGCAAATGGCAGTCACCCTGCTGGATAAGCGGGCGGAGACAGTGGTGAAGTCGTTTGCGACAAACTACATCTGCACGCATGGGATTCCCAAGTGAATCCTTACGGAATTTGAGGTGGCTCTAATGAAGTCGCTACAAGTGGTGCTGGACATTGAGAAATTTCGCGCCACGCTGTACCACTCATGAGCTAACGAAATGATGGAGTGGTTCAACCACACATACGCAACAAAGGTGTTTCACCTTGTCGAGGTAAATTAGCGGGTCAACGCAACTGATGCCATGCCACGTTCTGTATGGGCTGGAGCCCTGACTTCCCGGCAACCTATTGTTTGGGGAACTGCCACCACAGCCTCCGGAGGCACCTCAGCGCCTGCACCAACTACTCGAGACCCTGCAGGGTGCATGGGGAGACGTCTGGGGCACCAGCGAGGAGGCTCATCAACGAAAGCAGAATAACAATAACAAATATTTTATAAAGCGCCTTCCATTTTGAAATATCACAAAGCATAACAGCGTGCGACCTGCTAACAAAACCCAGGACGGGGAGGTCTGATGCCAGGGTTGCTGTTTTACGGTTTACACCCAGGTATGCGTTGCTTGTGTGGTGCTCTGGGGGTGCTGGGGGTATTGGTGGAGGGGTGGGTCTTCCTCAGGTGGCTGTTTGGCCATGGCACTACAGCTGCATCTTTTTGTTGTTTGAAATGTACGATTCCTTTTGGCAATTACTGTGTTGTGTGCTATTGGCGAGAATTCAACTTGCACATTGAATTGCCCCAAAAACTACCTATGCCGACTTCTCTTTCCACCACTTTAACTCACCCTACATATCGGTTCCCCTACCTACACGCATGGCCACCCGCTCGGTTTAGTCCTCGCGCGACACTTCCATACATTCCACCCGTTAATTCTCAAAAAAGTGCTCCCCAAACACTTTATAATCTACTACATATCCGCTTCTCCCTTCAGCCTTCAAACCCCCCAACCCTCTTCTAGCACCCCTCGAAGAAGCTCCTCCTCAGAAAACCCCTTTTTGTTTGCATGAAGTGTCCATTATTTTCGAGTGTTGATCTTTTCGAGTTTGCTTAGGGACTGCACCACCATGTTTTTCTCATCTGCGCAGACATACCTCCCAGATCTTTTCACATCGCGCTTAAATAGGAAACTGCTCGTGAGAACAAACATTGCTTTGAACCATATTTGTCTTGGGTTAGGCCACTGAAAACCAATATCATAGTATTGGCAATCAAAACTTATGTTTAAATGTAAACATTGTTTTTGTTATTCTTGGTTCTTTTGGCAATGTCACGTAGAAGGGAAACAATAAAATAATAAAAATATAAAACAATAAAATGCTCACGACGTTTCGACTGCAACACAAGCAATCATCATCAGGTGTGAAAAACACAGCAAAAAAATTGAAAAAATGGCGTTTTTTTTACGTTAGTACCACGGAGAGCGATTTGGCAGTTATTCAGATGGAAGAGTCCATCTATGTTCGGAAAAGAGGAGGGGGGGAGACGAAAAATAATGGATGCGGTCTGAAAACCACCTTAAGCGTGATCAATCAATTAAGACCCGAAATGGTTTATCAAATCCTTCCAATGATTGCTAAGCCAGAATCCATCTTCTCGGTTGAAATTGTCTCTGTGTTTGTATATGTGGATAGCCTCATGAACGAATCTCTCATGGTAGCCGGATGGCTTGCAGAGAACCTCCGTCTTGGAGAAGTCAATGTCATGTTGGCCCACTGAATTATAACAGTGATCTGCCACGGCTGAGGTGTTCGTCCTACCGTGTTTCAAGTTTGCTCTATGTACACGGATGCGGTCCAAGATATGTTATTTGGTTCCTCCAATGTAGCTGCTACCACAGAGGCAACTTAGTTTGTAGACGCCCGGGTACTGTATGTCTGGAGCCACATCTTTTACAGATGGAACCAGATCACGGATTTTATGTAATGTGTTGAATCTGACCTGGATCTTGTGTTCATTCAAGATTTTGGAAATATTTTTGTGATCCCCGCAATGTAGGGTAAAGTGATGGTTTTGAATGGCTCCTCAAGAGGGTCCTTCATGGTTGGAATGATAGTTTTGCAGATTGTGTAGTCGGAGTAACCATTAGCCTTAAGAGCTTGGTGTACGTGCTAAAGTTCACTGGCTATGTGTTCCTGGTCGGATATGCATTGGGCTCGATGGTGCAGAGTCTTGATGAGGGAATTCTTCTGGGATGGATGGTGGTGGGAATCCGGTTTCAGGTAAGCATCCGTATGGGTAGCTTTCCTCTAGACAGTGGCTCATTGAACCATCAGGTCTCTTTTTTATTAGGACATCGAAAAAAGGTAGCTTGCCATCTTTTTCGACTTCCATGGTAAATCTGATAGAAGGGTGTATGGAATTGATGTGGTCGAGGAATTGGTTTAAAGCAGGCCGGCCATGTGGCCAGATGACAAAAGTGTCATCCACGTACCTCTTC